AGGCTATAGTCTAAAGAACAATACTTTAGGGGTAAGAAATGATTTTATGAGAATTTTAATATAAAGATAATGAAAGTGGGTTTAGTAAGGTATATTAAAAAGAGAAAATGACCACGTAACTAAAAAATGTAAAGTATGGAAAAGCAGTCAAACATTACCACAGCACTAGTATTGAGCTTTAACTTTACAAATAATTATTGAGCACCTCCTACATAGGAGGCCCTCTGGGAAGTATAAAGATGCATAAACAAATGTAAATACTTCAGTAAATACCTACTATATACAACAAACTTTACTAGAGCCAAAGATAAGACAATTTATGGTCTCAAGATACACCTTTTAGTGAAGAAAGTTGGAAACTAATTTCAAAGTTTCCAACCTATGTCAAAAGCAAGGACAATCCAGCAAAATGGAAAAAAAGTACGGTCAAAACCCTAACAGATTTAGACAGATATCATTTAATACTAAATTATCAGACAAATAACATATAACATTTTATATTAATTAAAGGAATGTTATAAGATGTAAGCATACACACGTAAGCAAACGTTAATGCAATATACCACTTTAAATCTATGTATATAGAGACATTTTAAGTATTGTAATGGAAAAGGGAGTATGACTACACTCACGCAACATGTATTAAGTGTTTAGTACAAGCAAGGTATTGTGTTGCTTGCTACCGAGTATTTGTTTGAGGGAGTGGGGGGTGACACCCAGTTTCTGCCCCAAACATCAACATTTTGGGAGATAAAACATTTCTGGAGACACATCAGTTATCATTCAAAATGAAGGGAATAGAGACACATAGGAATGGAAGGAATGGGATGAGCATGATTGGCTCTGTCTAGAGGTGAAATGGATGTCTGAAGAGAGCCTCTCAGAGTAAGTAATTGTGCTAATAAGCCTTGAAAGGTGAGTAGTTCTCCAGAGGGAAAAAAGTAAAAAGGGAGAATAAACAGTATTGCAAGCAGAGTTAACAGTTGAATGAGGTTTTATGAGCATTCATGGCATCTCTAGAGAATGGTGGACAGACCAGGGTTATAGGAGATATCTCATAATATTAGCTGTGGCTAGTCTTGGAAACCCTCATATTTAACAGTAAGGTAGTGGAACTTTATCCTTAGATTGGGAAAAGAAAGGTGAAATCCGTTTTAGAAAGATACCTAGCAGCAGTACAGAGAAATGCAGTAAGGAAAAGAGAATGGAGGTAGAGGAAATTTTAATGTAAATCATTAATAATCAGCAGATGTCAACAATGAATACACTGAAAGGAAATAGGAAATAGAGGAAATACACAAAAAGGAGAGGGAACAGAAGTAAGAGGACATACTGGCATCTTTCTTATTCTGGGTTTACAGTAGTTTAAAAGTCTTATAATATATTGCTTTGACATGGAAAAACACTCCTCCCATTAAGAGCATCAAGTTGCCACAATATTTTTCTAAACAGAGTGTGTCCCTTTGGACCAAAGTGAGAAGTCCTTGGTTTCACTCATATCTGGAACATAAGGAAAAGCACGGAGGACCACAGGGGAAGGGAGGGAAAACTGAATGGGAAAAAAATCAGAGAGGGAGACAAACCATGAGAGACTCTGGACTCCGGGAAACTGAGGGTTACAGAAGGGAGGGGAGTGGGGGGATGGGGTAACCAAGTGATGGGTATTAAGGAGGGCACGTGTCATGATGAGCACTGGGTGTTATACGCAACTAATGAATCGTTGAACACTACATCAAAATCTAATGATGTACTATACATTGGCTAACAAAGTGAGAAGTCCTATTTTGATTTCAATATGAGCTTCTAAGAGAAACTTCTAAGCAAGAATAACTTTCTGGGCAGCCAGTAGTAAAATATCTAAAACAACTATATTTCACCATTAAAACAGATACAAATAGTAGACACCCTACCTTGATGGTCCTGTCCAAAGATGCACTGGCAAACTGATTGTTATCTTTAGGATTGATCACAATCTGCATAACATAATGGGTGTGTCCTTCAAACACTTGTGAGCAGGACCATTTTTTATCCCAGTCCCAGAGCTTAATAAGCATGTCATCTAGGTGAAAAGAAAGTCTCAAGTTAGTTGTCATTTATATTTCTTTCATTCAGAACTAAGATGCAGTCTTTGTGCCTAAAGGCAGCAAATCTAAGAGAAATCATACATTCCATGACTTAAAGAAATAGAATCAGAACTGAACAGATTTTCAAAATCCTTATTTATCCTAAGAATAAACTTAACTCTCTACAGAAGAGTGGAGATAAAATACAAAAATTACTACTAGCAAATACAAAAATTTCATGAAAAATTTTAAAAAAGACTCAGTGGGCTTTACAGAATTACAGAAGAGTAACACAAGTTTGATTAGAATCTAAGTATGACTGAATAATGATGGCAGTGACTAGGGAATAAGCATTCCTCTTATAAAAATGGTAAAAAAAAAAAAAAGCTTTGAATTACTTCTCAATTTTAACTTAAAAATGTTTCAAAGAGCTATTACCAAATCAGTGCAACTTGTTTTAATTACCCTCCAAAAGTCCACTGTTTTAGATATAATACCAAGGAGCAAACTAGCCTGAATATAAAGATAAAACTGACAAGGGTATGCAGCAATCTGGCCAAAACTCACACACCAGCATGTAAATTAGCTTTCTGTTCAGCAGATGTTTAATCATCTAGACCTTCAGGCCTTCCCTGACAGGAACCGGAGCACAACTGCTATACAAATCCCAAGTACAGTTGATATTTCATTAAATACGAAAGCAAGCAGCATTGATAGCACGATAATGGATGTACATAGTTTAAAGGCTGCTTGGAATTAGAACTCTACATGTAACAGCAGAGAAAGAACTGCAAGTCTCACTGAATGAAAATGAATTACTCAAAGAGATGCACATGACCAAAAGGAGTCATCTCTTACCGCTGCTAGTCAGAATAAAAGGCTGGGTTGGATGAACAGCAATACAGCGAATGTAGTCTGAGTGTGCTTCAAACATATGAACTCTCTCCAGAGTATTGTAATTGAACACTCTAATCTGCATGTCATCCTAGAAATGGAAATTTAGAAATCATTATTATTGTTATAAAGTAAACTGTGCAAAATAGTGTAGGGGCGCCTGGGTGGCTCAGTCAGTTAGGTGTCCGACTTTTGATTTCAGCTCAGGCGGTGACCTCAGGGTCCTGGTATGGAGCCCCACATGGGCCTCTGCACTCAGCAGGGAGTATGCCTCTACCTCTCCCTCTGCCTTGCCCCTCACTTTCTCTAAAAATAAATAAATCTTAAAAAAAAAAGTGTACTATAGGCTCAAGGTATAAAGTCCATGCTTCAAAACATTACACTAATGAACAAATCAAGAATCAAAATCATTCACATAATCACTGACCAGTTAAGAAATTGAAGGGATTAGAAATTCATAGAATTACTTACTGCTCCTGTCACAACCCAATTCTTTCTTGCAACAAACTTTGCAGCTCGAACAGGAAGATCACACACTTCAAATGTTTTCACCAATGTCTTTAAAATTTAATAAGAATATACACTTTGAGTTATGAGAAAATAACTGAAAAAACTACTGTGTTATATTTAAAACATCCAATTATTTAGATCACTCTTAATTTAAAAATATTCTCAGGCTAAAACACAAAAGTTCAACAATCAAATGAAAAAAACAGACCATCTTTTCTTTAACAGTTTCAAAATTAAAATACTTACAAAGGATAAAAGAAAGCAAATGTCCACAAGATGGAATTTCAGATCCTCTGTGCTCCAGCCTGCCCTTCCTATCTCCCTAGCCTCATCTTTGGCTACTCCCAGCCTTACCTTTGCTCCTCCTGTTCCCTCTGCCTGAAAACCCACACAGAACCTTATACTCCCCTTTCATAACATAGCACTTTCATAATTATGTGTTTAATATCAATCTTTCCTACTAAGCTCCCCAAGGGGAAGAATCTTGTTCACACTGTATTCCCAGAGCCTAGAACAGTGGCTGGCAAACAACCAGTGTGTAATAACTATTTGTTGAATGAATTGGCTCTTAGTTTTTTCTTTTTAAAATTAAACCTATCAACTCACAAAATAAACTCATAAACAAGATACAATTCCTTTGAACACTTTAGCAATATGTTTCCATATAAATGCTATTTACCTCTCTTTAGTGAAGCATGAAAACACGGTGATTTAAATGTCTCGTCAAGCTGCTCAAAATGGAATAATATATACAGGATAAAAGCAGAAAACTAAAAGACCGTCTTAGAAAGAACAGGGATAAATGCATCTCTTTGTCCTCCCACTTTGATGCTTTATTTTTTAAATTTCTGAGAATCAAACTATCATTTTGCAATCTCTCTTTTTATACCAGAGTAGTGAAAAACAGCACAATCTTACTGATGAACCATGTGCACTAAATAAAAAGGATAGAAACTAGTACACCTGAAACTAATGTTATATTGTATGTCAACTATACTAAAAAAAAAAGTTTTAAGAGAAAAAAAAAAAGAATAGAGACTGGTTCATAAGAACTGTTGAGCCTACTCTGGCTTCTGAAGCCAGACTTCACAGATTCTTCACACAAAGACAATAAATGGGGGCATCAGCTCCAACCTGTACAACTACCAGTTGACTACAATACAGACACTGAGAGCAAACACGACATACAATCTGTAAGATGACAGACAAATCCACGAAAGCTCATAAGGAGCCAACAAATCCAGGGATCTGCTGAGCAGTACAAATAAAGCAGCTGCAGAACAGTCACAGTTCAGGTCCATGTTAAGTACTGTGGCTGATAAAAATGACACGAGAGATGGTTTCCACATTCTAGAAGCTAAACAATCTAAAGAGGAGGAAATGCTACACACTCAATATATACTTAATGTAAATTAGGAAAATAATGACTAACACTTGTATGGGACTTTATAAATCTCACAATATTATCTAGTTTGATTTAATCCTTTTGACAATCCTGTGATATAGGGAAGGCAACAATATCATCTTCATTTTAAATAAGTAAACTGAGCCTTAACATGGTTAAGAGGCTTGCCCACATCATTTAATTAAGCAGGATGGCTTCAAATTTGAACATACTGATTTTTAACCATTGCACTCACCACCTCAAAGACTTAATTGAAATTCAAGTACATTTGAATTACTTCCAAAAACTTTTTGCCTCTTTGAAGAATTTTGCTCTTAATATACATGAGTGGCAAGTAACTTCTTTTGGTGATAAATACAGGGAAAAAAAGAGGGACAACCAAAAATAGATCAACCGGGGCGCCTGGGTGGCTCAGTCGTTGAGCGTCTGCCTTCGGCTCAGGTCATGATCCCGGGGTCCTGGGATCGAGCCCCGCATCGGGCTCCCTGCTCGGCGGGAGGCCTGCTTCTCCCTCTCCCACTCCCCCTGCCTGTGTTCCCTCTCTCGCTGTGTCTCTCTCTGTCAAATAAATAAATAAAATCTTTAAAAAAAAAAATAGATCAACCATTGAACAAAGACTTACTTAGTATCTACTATAAGGCTGGCTGTCAGATATGCACTATGGACTAGGATAATCACTGTCCATCCCAGGACCTCCATTCTTGAAGGAAAGAAGGAAATTAGAAGTTACCAACAAGATGAATTTTGAAAGTGGAAGTAGGTGGCCCTGCCAGAGGTCACAGAAGAGCACAAAAGGGAAACAGAGGCAAAGTGGATGAACTGGATAGAGTTACGGTACAGTAAAACCCAGAGAAAGGTAAGGAAAATACAGCTGGGATTTAGAACATACTTCAGTGAAATGACAGAGCTGAGAAATGGCTAAATGGAGTTGATAGAAGGGATCCCTAGGAAGAATTAGGATGTGTGGTGGGGGTTGGCGGAGGCACCAACATATCTGATAAGCATAAAATCACAAAGATATTAAACCTGTGAAAGCAGAAGTAGATCAAAAAAAGCATTTAGCATGCATACTATCTGCATTAAGACAAATGGATTCACAAGATCAAGATCTGAAATTGCAGAGGTTAGAAATCCTGATAGTGAAATAGTGATAAATGGAATATTATTCATTAGCTCAAAAAATAATTATTGAGTACTTACTATGTGTCAGACAATGTTATCAGCACTGGCATAAAGCAGAGAACAAAGTGTTAATGTTTATAAAATGTCACTGATGGGGTCCTGGTTTAGTGTGCAGTCATTCTGTACCATTATAGGGACATAAGACTGTAAGGGTGTTTTTAGGTTTATTCCTGACCTTGGTTCCCCCAAGCCTATTTTTCCATCTTAAATTACTCAACGTGAATTTTGTCTGGATATGAAGTACTTAACCTTGGATGTTGAAGATAATGATTGTGTAAGTAGACACAAAACTGTATGGGGTAGTGCTGATTATATGTTCTGTATTTTGAAGGAAAAAGATTAAGAACCACCAAAAAAGACCGGAAAATATGAGATAAACCAATTTGAAGGATAAATGATTTACTCAGATGAAAAAGAGCAATGGGGCGCCTGGGTGGCTCAGTTGGTTAAGCAATTGCCTTCGGCTCAGGTCATAATCCTGGAGTCCCGGGATCAAGTCCCATGTCGGGCTCCCTGCTCAGCAGGGAGTCTGCTTCTCCCTCTGACCCTCCCCCTTCTCATGCTCTCTCTCATTCTCTCTCAGATAAATAAATAAAAAATCTTAAAAAAAAAAAAGAGCAAAACAAGCATTTAAGGCAAATAATCTGTATAATGCATATTCTCGTATGTGTAATCAAAAGCTGACTACAAATATTTCTCTGACATACTCTATAATTTGAATGGTTGATTGAAAGTTAATCTGCATATCATTATATCAAGGATTTGGGAAAAAATAAAATTAAAAATCCAATTTTTAAGAATAATGACTGAATAGAAAATTATGTACTATACAATACTTTATCTAGAGCAAGTGACCTTATATTGGTGGCAGTTTCCTTCATTTCAAAGAAAATACTAACCTATATCAGAATTTAACATTTAAGTATTGTATATAACAAGACCCAAACATTTTCTCTCACAAGCTATACCCCCATAACTGTTAGTTCCTCTTTCCTGAAAATACTCTGTACTAATTTATTTGAGAAAGCAGTCTGCATACCTACTGGACTCTATGTCTTCTCTTGCATTATAAACACAGTCTAACACACTGTTTCTAAAAAGTCCTTAAAAATTCCTACCTGTGTTTCATGATTCCAAACGCACACACTGCCATTGTAAAGACTTGCCAACATCCATGGCTCTGTAGGATGCAAATCCACACTCTTAACTCGATCCGATCGAGCAGTTAGCTTTCTCTTTATATCAAGTCGCAGAGGCTAAGGAGAAACAACATAAAAAATCCTCAAAACATTAAATTGCTATGCCAAATAAAACATGTTTGAGATCTTAACTAAAAACAGTGCATTAACAGGCCTTCAAAACAATTCAGTTTTTACTTTGCTGAACTGAAGACACAGTTTCAACTCTACCAGCACCTACTTCTTCACTCATACTAACATAAGAGTATTTAAATTTTTTAAATTTACAGTAATGGTTGTCAAACTTTTTGGTCTCAGGACCCCTTTCCACTCAAAAAAATTTCCTAAAGAGCTTTTGCTTATGTAGGTTATATCTATTGATATTTATCATGTGAAACATTAAAACTGAAACAACTTAAAAATATTTATGTATTAATTCATTTTCAATTAACAAAAATAAGCCCATTACATGTTGACTTAACATATTTTTATGAAAAATAACTATATTTTCAAAGGAAATTTAGTGAGAAGAGTGGCAATGTTTTATATTTTTGCAAACTCTTTAACATTCTGTCTTAATAAGAGACAGTTGGTTTTTCATATCTGCTTTGGCCTTCGATATGTTGTGATATGTTGTTCTGGTTGATGTATATGGGGAAAAAAACGGCCCCACAAAGATATGTCGTTGGAAAGAGAAATATTTTATTTTTTTAAAGATTTTTTTTTTTTTTTTTAAAGATTTTATTTATTTATTTGAGACAGAGAGAATGAGAGACAGAGAGCATGAGAGGGAGGAGGGTCAGAGGGAGAAGCAGACTCCCCGCTGAGCAGGGAGCCCGATGCGGGACTCGATCCAGGGACTCCAGGATCATGACCTGAGCCGAAGGCAGTCGCTTAACCAACTGAGCCACCCAGGCGCCCAAAGATTTTTTTTTTTTTTAAATTTGTCAGAGAGAGAGAGAATGCACAAGCGGGGGAGGAGTAGGCAGAAGGAGAAGCAGGCTCCCCGCTGAGCAAGGAGCCCGATGTGGAACTTGATCCCAGGACTCTGGTATTATGACCTGAGCTGAAGGCAGACGCTTAACCAACCAGGCGCTCTAGTAACTTTTTTTAAATAGTTGTGAATATGGGGCGCCTGGGTGGCTCAGTCGTTGAGCGTCTGCCTTCGGCTCAGGTCATGATTCCACGTCCTGGGATCGAGCCCCGCATCAGGCTCCCTGCTCCGCGGGAAGTCTGCTTCTCCCTCTCTCACTCCCCCTGCTTGTGTTCCCTCTCTCGCTGTGTCTCTCTCTCTCTGTCAAATAAATAAAATAAAATCTTTAAAAAAAAAAAAAATAAATAGTTGTGAATATTCTTCTTTCATACAGACCCAAACTTGACAAGTGGTAGTTTCCTAAAGGTTAGTTGCAACGTGAAATCTGAAACCACATAAATGAACTTTTTATACTGTTACATAAAAATCTCTTGGCCTATTATGTATTTTGAATGGATCTCTGACCCATGCATCTTTTGTAATATCATGCATTGGTTATTTGGAAAATTTTGGTTCAGTGAATTATGCAGATCTTCCAAAATTTTGACACATTTCATTATATAGTAACAAAAAGTCACATTCATTAATATCACCATCTACCTCAATGGATACATCTTCAAGTATTAGTAATTTACCCAGTTCAATGATAGAAGTTTTCTAAAATTCTAATTTTCACTTGAAAGCACCAATTTTATTATTGGGAACAAATACTGCCTGGGACCAGCTAACTTATTTCAGTTTTTAGAAAATGTGTGCCAAATAATCAAGTCTGAACAAACACAGTATGTCGGTCACTATTTCAAGTAAGCCTGCAATTTAACAGTATGCAACAGAAGTATCTTGTGCATACTTCTCATGTCATTACACAGAATCTTTAAAAGAAGTATGCTGAGGTATCAAGATGTAATAAAACTAATATTTTTTCCTTGTTTCATCAATGACATTCTTAAGTGAAACTGGATTTAAAAAAAAAATGTGTGGTAATGAAGAATATAAATATACTATTAGTTCAATTTGGTGACATTACACCAGCAGTTCAGTTTTACCTTCTATTAGTTTTACAGCAACAGTGCAAATTATCAATATAGTGAACCTCCTGGAAGAGTATGGGGGACTCCTAGAAGACTGTAGATCACACTTTGAGAATCCCTGGTTTACAGAATATCTAGTAAGTAAATATAAAAATATCTACTAAATCACAATGTTGTGCCCATGTCATTAGTGTCCTATCAGAAAATATTCTGAAGAAGCGTTATTCATGAAGTCTTAGTAATTCTAAACTATAATATCAATCAAAACAGTATGGTATTGGCATAAAAACACAAAGATCAATGGAACAGAATAGAGAACCCAGAAATAAACCCATGCATACATGGTCAATTAGCCTACAAAAAAGGAGCCAAGAATATACAGTGGGAAAAGGATGGTCTCTTCAATAAATGGTGTTAGGCAAAATGGACAATATGCAAATGAATGAAACAGGAGGGGCGCCTGGGTGGCTCAGTCGGTTGGGTGTCTTGAGTCCTGATTTCAGCTCATGTCATGATCTCAGGGTTGTGAGACTGAGCCCCATGTCGGGCTCTGCACTGGGTGTGGAGCCTGCTTAAGATTCTCTCTCTCCCTCTGCCCTTCTCTGCACCCCCCTCCCTCTCTTAAAAAAAAAAAAAAAGAGAGAGAAGAGAGAATGAAACTGGATCATTATCTTAAATCATAGTTAATTTTACAAAAATTAATTCATAATGGATTAAAGACTTGAATGTAAACCTGAAACCATAAAACTCCTAGAGGAAAACATAGGCGATAAGCTCCTTGATACTGGTCTTGATGATTTTTTTGGATTTGACACCAAAGCAAAGGCAATAAAAGCAAAAATTACCAAGTGGGTCTACATCATATAAAAAGCTTCTGCAGAGCAAACTATCAACAAAATGAGAAGGCAACATACTGAATGGGAGAAAATACCTGCAAAACATATATCTGGATAAGGGATTAATATTCAAAATATATAAAGAACCCATACAACTTAATAGCAAAAAAATTAAGTAAAAAATAGGCAGAGGTTCTGAATAGACGTTTTCCCAAAGAAGACTACAGATGACCAATAGGTACATGAAAAATGTTCAATGTGACTAATCATCACAAATCAAAACTACAATGAGATATCACCTTACACCTGTTAGAATGGCTTTTATCAAAAAGACAAGAAATAACAAATGTCAGTGAGGACATGGAGAAAAGCAAACCCCTATGCACTATCGTTTGGAATGTAAATCTGTGCAGCCACTGTGGAAAACAGCATGGAGGTTCCCCTCAAAATTAAAAACAGAACAGGCTATATGATCTAGCAATTCCACTTGTGGGTATTTATCCAAAGAAAAATGAAAGCATCAACTTGAAAAGATATGTGCACCCCCATGTTCACTGCACCAATAGTTACAATAGCCAAGACATCAAAACAACCTAAGTGTCCACTGATAAATGAATAAAGAAAATGTATATTATACATATTATACATAATATTTCATTGTATATATGTATATATTTTATGCATATATGTAATAATATATATTATTTGCATACATATTATTATATATACACTGGAAGTAGATGAATAAAAGCCTCGTGAGATGTTTGCTTTGTCTCAGGAAATTATCTCTGCTGAAATTATCTAGTGGTCTTCATTTTGTGTTGAAAAGTAACCTTAAATTTCTATTCCATTCATGATCATCATGGAAGATCACAAAAATATTATCTCTCACACACACACACAAGAATATTATTCAGACATAAAAAAGAATGAAACCTTGCTATTTGTGACAACATGGATAGTACTTGAGGGTATTATGCCAGTGAAATAAGTTGGAGAAAGACAAATACCAAATGACCTCACTTATATGTATAATCTTTTTTTTTTTTTTTAAAGATTTTATTTTTTTATTTGACAGACACAGCGAAAGAGGGAACACAAGCAGGGGGAGTGGGAGAGGGAGAAGCAGGCTTTCCTCGGAGCAGGGAGCCCAATGCAGGGCTCGATCCCAGGACCCTGGGATCATGACCTGAGCCGAAGGCAGACACTTAACGACTAAGCCACCCAGGTGCCCTCTCACTTATATGTATAATCTTAAAACAAAACAGCTCAAGCTCATACATGTAGAGAACAGACTGGTGGTTGCCAGAAGCAGGGGGTGGGGATGGGCAAAATGGATGAAGGAGGTAAAAGAGTACAAACTTCCAGTAATAAAATAATTAAGTCATGGGGATATAATATATAGTTAATAATACTGTGACGCATATTTGAAAGTTGCTAAGAGTAGATCTTAAAAGTTATCATAAGAAGAAAAATACTGTAACCACATATGGTGATAGATCTTAACTACTTACTCTTGTGATCATTTCACAATATATACAAATACTAAATCATTATGTTGTACACATGAAATTAATATAACATTATGTCAATTATACCTCAATAAAAAAATTGATTTCTGGGCGCCTGGGTGGCTCAGATGGTTAAGCGTCTGCCTTCGGCTCAGGTCATGATCTCAGGGTCCTGGGATCGAGTCCCGCATCGGGCTCCCTGCTCCTTGGGAGCCTGCTCCTCCCTCTGCCTCTCTCTCTCTCTCTCATGAATAAATAAAAATCTTTAAAAAAAAAAAAACTGATTTCTTTGGAGAAAAGTATTTTGGCAATAATACTAGTAAATGGTAGGTGAATGTGATGTGTGATCAATATGGGTTATATCCACGTCCATGAAGGCCTTTGGAGACCAACAGGAATGTTTATAGCATTTTAATGGATTTCAGTTACTGGAACCTAATGTAACTTAATTGGGAACCTAACTAGTGAGTTACTCAGTAATCTAATACAAGAACCTAATTCTAACTTAATTAGAACAATTTTAAACAAAAATTAAAATACTCTCAAGTCAGAAAATGCTAATAGTTTAAACTTGCTTTTTTTCAATCTAGATTCATCTAAACAGACAAGAAAATGATGTGAATAAGTATTTTCTCAATTCTCCCAAGGATACCATTCTAAGAGAAAAGAATTCATTATAAACAATGATGCCTAAGTCAGTAGTCTTAATTCTCTCTTGGACACAGATCAGGGAAGACTGATTTAAAATATGTTTCCCTGGGCGCCTGGGTGGCTCAGTCGGTTAAGAGTCTGCCTTAGGCTCGGGTCATGACCTCAGGGTCCTGGGATCGAGTCCCGTGTTGGGCAAACTGCTCAGCGGGGAGCCTGCTTCTCCCTCTGCCTGCTGCTCCCCCTGCTTGTGCGCTCTCTCTCTGTCAAATAAATAAAATCTTTTAAAAAAATGTATGTTTCCCCTTCAACAGGTTTTAAACACAACCTAGAAGTTTACTTGGCAAGTTACCACTGAATCTTTATTTTTGTGATCTTCCACGATGATCATGAATGGAAGAGAAATTTAAGGTTACTTTTCAACACAAAACGAAGATCAGTAGATAATTTCAGCAGAGATAATTTCCTGAGACATAGCAAACACCTCACAAGGCTTTTATTCATCTACTACTTCCAACCTTGTTACTACTTCTATACATGCCTCCTCCGCTTTTAGCAATAACCTATATCTCTTTATTTGAAAAGATCAGAGTTCTTTGGCTCTTCTCTACAATCACCAAAAAAGTGTTTCCACTGCCATGCCTTCCTCTCCATCTCAAACTTTCTACTTTCAAACCACCACCCTCACATTCCTTGGCCATTCAGGGAAGCAGGACCTTTTACTTCATCCTTTTCTTAATTTTGCCTCATTAATTAGCATGACAAATTTCAACTCCTTCCACTGGTCTCTAATTTAGAGTGAACAAACATGAAGTGTCTTTTGTGTGCCAGAAACCACAATCAGGGCTTTCACGTAGGCCAGCACATCTCATACTTTTCCTCTAGCAAATGAGGAAATTCATCACTTATAAATTGTGTGTATTTTACCATATGGATGTTTAATGATTACTGAGTAAAAGTGATGCTCTGGAAAGGTGGGCTGGGGGACTAAGCAACCCTAGTATACCTCCAAATACCCCCAATTCACAAATTCCAGTTTAAAAAACACAGCCGAGATCTTTTGCTGTATTTCTCCCAACATTTAAGTGACTACTCTGAATGAAGTAGATATTCTGAAATACAAAGATATTTATACAGTACCCTTAATTCTAAATGTCTCCCTCCATTTTCCAAAAGCTGGATGCATTTAAGACTCAGCTTAAACTGCCACCAATATAATCTTTAGGATTACCCTAGCCAGAACATCCTTTCCTAAGGGATCTTAAAGAAGCTAATTTTAATATTTGTATACACATCTCTTTTTGCTTTATAGAGTAGATGCTCTTTAGGGCGGAGTCATTGCTTATTCATGTCTTTATATCCACAGCATCTTATATATTTGGATATGGGGATTTAAAGACAGATGGTATAATCAAGGTCTAGAGAATTATGCTGAATTCAAATTTTTGTTCCACCACTCATTTCAAATATTCAATATTGGACAAGTTTACTTAACTTCTCTGAGGTCTGACATAAGTAAAAGAGGGATAATACTTTTATCTACATCTTAGCGTTATGAGAATTAAATTCAATGTTAAGCAGTTAGAATAGTGCCTGGCCTATCATAACCACTCCATAAACATTATTTATAACTCATTCTCCCAGCTGCTATAAGAATTAGGAGGCAAATGTTTAGCAAAGTGCATGGGCACATAAACACTCTATGGTAAACAAGTGAATAAATAAATTCACGTTTTGTATCTTATACAAAAAATTTTAAATACATTAAAGAATGAAGGATATTTCATTATAAAATGTCCATTACTGAGAGCACAGCAGATTCCAGACCAGAAGAGATCACTGGTAACAGGAAGCAGAATAATTAAGAGACCTGAGATCTTGTCGATCACAGAACTCAAACTGGACCAGGACCCCACAAGGCCTGAGGAGGCGGCCGCAGCGGCACCTCAGGCCGCTGCTTAGCGCAGCGGCACCTCAGGCCGCTGCTTACCGCAGCCCCCAGTCCAGAAGCCCAAGAATTGGCCTCAGACAACGAGGCCCCGCTCCTTCCTGCAGGGTCTGGACCTACCATCGCTCCGTTGGTCCGAGCCCGGGAGCCGTCACTTGCCACCGGCGACGCAGTCCCTCAGAGACCCACCGACCCGCTGACCAGCCGACTGACTGACGTGGAACTTCCGGGAGGCAATTCTCGCGATAGTGGAGGCCAGGGTCCTAGCGCCTGCGCAAACGCGAGGCAGGGCTGACGTTTTCCAACGCCTTCTCCGGTTTCCCAGGCAACGCGGCCTCCTAAACTGTCACTAGCCGACCCGGGGCCGTTTGAGAAGGTGGGGTGTGGTCTTTACCGCCGAGCGAAATGACCTCGGGCTCCTGAAAGAAGACGAGGACTAGAAAACAAAGAAAAAAATATGAGAAAAACGAAATGCTTAGTCCCCTTGGACGCTAACGGCAGGGGGAGCTCCCCCTCAGTGGAGTTGTGGCTTGAGGAGCGCCTTTGGCTTCCTTCCGACTCTGAGGGGAGGGATGGGGAGAGAGGGAAGCAAGGCTCCAAGGCCTCAAGGCTAGAGAACGAGACACAGCGAGTTCTCTGCGAGCCCTGGACCAAGCGCCGAGTGAGGCTGGGAAGAAATGGCCTGACTCGGGGCCGAGCTTCAGGCCTGTGAGGTTGGAAGGAGGCCAAGAGCCTTCAGTCTGGAGCCCCCAGGAGATGGGGACTACCCCACCATGCATGATCGCTCTTTACTGAGCATCCACTGTGTTATTCATTTATTTAACAAATATTTATCGATCTTCGGCTGTGTGCCAGGAGTACTTTCCTCTCAAATCCTCACATCAAATCTGAATTATCTCCATTTTACTAATGAGAAAACTAAGGCTCAAAGAAGTGCTTTGGCCAAGGCCGCGTAGTAAGTGCTGGAGACCGGATTTCATCTCAGATTCCTACGTCCTCAAAGTCCCGTGCTCTTTCTACTACATCAGAGTACCTCTTCGTTAAGGTAGTTGAGCTCTGGAATGAGGACCTGAGCCACAGGGGTTGAAAAAAACTGCAAGAGCATTTGCCTGCCACCATCCTCCTACACTCCTGCTTTTATTTTATTTTGTTTTAAACCCTGTGGGCCAAATAAAAGTTGTTACATATGAACCAATACCTCTGGCGTGAGAGAAGCCTTGGCTTTTTTAGACCTCTGTATTTTCAGAAAAGCTAAAATTGGGTCTATGTGTGTAGAAAGTGATATTCAGAGGGAGACATGGACTCTGCATCAGGTAATTTGGCTTTTAGTGGGAGCTTTGCTGCTAATGTGATCTCTTTATGGGCCTCAGAGTTCCTCATATTAAAAAAAAATTAGGTTGGGGCGCCTGGGTGGCTCAGTTAAGCGTCTGCCTTCAGCTCAGGTCATGATCCCAGGGTGCGGGAATCCAGCCCAGCCATGGGCTCTCTGCTCAGCGGAGAGCCTGCTTTTCCCTTTTGTTCCCGCTCTGCGCTCTCTCTGTCAAATAAAATCTTAAAAAAAAAAATTAGGTTGAATAATTTCTAAAGATCTTTCCATTTCTACTATTCTGTGATATTTAATAGTAGAAGAGTGGGTCTGGAACTGGATTTTAATGCCAGGAGTTTTATATTATGAAATGTAAGTTGAGGGGCGCCTGGGTGGTTCAGTCGTTAAGCGTCTGCCTTCGGCTCAGGTCATGATCCCGGGGTCTTGGGATGGAGCCCTGCATCGGGCTCCCTGCTCGGCGGGGGGCCTGCTTCTCCCTCTCCCCCTCCCCCTGCTTGTGTTCCCTCTCTCGCTGTGTCTCTGTCAAATAAATAAATAAAATCTTTAAAAAAAAAAAAAAAGAAATGTAAGTTGAGACTAATAATTGAATACTTTGCTTACTCTGTGGAGTGATTGAGGGTCACAAGAGTTAGTTGAAAATATTACAAATGCAAGCTATATCTAATTTACTTGAATAGTGGAGCTGCCAATATTTCTGTTTCCTGGATATTCTTGCAGTTGAGAAAGTATCTTCAGACTTGGCACATTGCCAAGTAATCCAAAATAAAATGACATCATCTCTATTTTCAAGGCACTCAGTTGGGGATACTTAAATCCTTATGTACCACTGGGCACCCAAGGATTTATTTAGCTGGTATTGATGAGAGTTGAGCCCCCAAGTGTCACACTCACTTTGACTTTATCTTTTCTCATTTTTCCCACTGCAGTTAACCAACATTAAGTCCTGCGGTTGTATACTATAAATTCATTTTTCTTTCAACCATTACGTACTGAATTTGTATTATATCCAAAGCACTATACTAGGTGCTGCCTGAAAATTAGACTTATAAAAATTTAGTCTTGGATTTGGTTGAAAGAAATCCCATTTTAAAGAAATAAAATTCTCACATATGAACTAATACATAAAATAACATTAAATATATGTGTATATTCCTATGTTTTCAACTGTGGGTTTAAATCTCTTGTTTACTCTGTGGTTTAGAGGAGACTGGAAAGTTAGGAAAATAGCTCTGGGGAAAAAAAATATGGACAAGCTTAGCAAATTGATAAAGGGTTTCCCAAGAGGTTGGTTGCAATTGATCAATATATCTTAAAGTCTTACCTGGTCAATTTCTAGGATAACTGTTTCAACCCTGCCTTTTTTCTGCTGGGGGGGGGGTTGGGGGGTTGGGCGGGGAATTCCAAATGGAAGTTCAGCCAGCAATGCCTCAGTACTCTGTAAACACCTTGCTCTCCCCATTCTATTCCCCTCTTCATAAAAAGTTGAAGTGAAAAATAATTCCTTGAGGAAAAGTCTACTTGGTATTTTGAAAAAATAAACCTCTCTCTCTCTTCCTCTTCTTCCCTCTCCCTCTGTGCACACGCATGTATGTGTGTGTGTGAGATCACTTAGCAAAGTGGTGAGTAGGCACATGAATAATAACCTAGTTTCTCTCTTCAAAAGGAGGTCAGTTATGTACAAATAATGAAATAATATACCAAATATGAGTACCCCAAGAAGTACCAATAAAGTACTCTGGGAATAAAATATCTAGCCAGGGGTATCAGTTTCATAAAGGAGGCATAATTTGAGCAGGACTTTGAGGTAAAGAGTATGTGGTATGTTTGAGAACCACAAAAAGTCCAGTTTTCTTGCTATTTGTTTAGGAGGGCATTGAGCCAGTAAATGACACAGAGAAGAAACAGAATAAGACACCTAGGAAAACTGTATGCCACGAAAGGAAAAGAGAGGGAGAACATAATAGGGTGACCAGCAGTCTAGATGGCTTTAGAAAACTTAAGGAGGTTTGGTATTTGGAAAAAAAACAACTATTGCCAATGAATTAAATGACTGAGGACACTGGAAGTCTTCAAAAAAGTGTTTTCAGTTAAGTAATGTGAAGGGAAGCCGGTTTGCAAGGGATTAAGATATGATTGGATGGTAAGGAAGTGGAAGTAGTGAATATTATCTATTTTACCAAAAGAGTAGTATGAAAAGGCAAATGTGGATGTCTCACTGAAAGTGAATTGATTGTTTTTGTATCTAGGGTGTAGTTGACATTACTTCATAATAACACTCCAAATGATGTATGCAAGTAAACAGACCTTTGCAGTGTGAGTAGGAACTAGCCAGACAAATGTCAAGAGGGCATATGCAGAGCATTTTAAGTGGAGGGAAGAGAGTTTAATTTTTCCAGAGAACTAAAAGTAGTTTAGCATGTCTGAGCCAGATAGTAAGAAGGGGGAGGATTGAGAAATGGTACTGGGAAGATAGATGAAGCTCAGATCTTGAAGGTCCATGATTGCCAGTTTAAGGAATCTGGACTTTATCGAGACGGCTCTAGGGAACCACTGAAGAATGTTAAGTAGGGTAATCTTCATGCTCCATTACCGATTCATCATTGCATGTCAGTTACTTTCCCTGTTAAAGGAAATGTTAAGGTTATCAGCTGGATTTCTGCATGAAGTGAATAAGAAGAGTTTTGACCACATAATCACATACCAACCATCGGCAGACTAAATTGAGCCCAAGAACCACTGAGTTGTCTTCCAAGAATGAAGCTTATGGATGCGCGACACTAGAGGCAAAAGCTTTGATTACAAAAGCATCGATTAACTATGATGTGCTATGCATTTCATATGATCACCTTTTAAGAAATCAAAGTTGTTAAAACAAATTTACTCCATGTGATGTGGGCTTGGGGATAAAGGAATGCTCACTTTTGTCTACCTGAAAGCATAAAAATCTAAATTTTTAGTCCTGTTTTTGGTGTGGGTATAAATTTTACCTTTTAAAAGAATGCATTAACTTCATGTTTAATAAAAATTTTTAGAGGAGGCAGGGTTTAAAATGAGCTTTGAATGAAATGGAGGAGGTGACTGCATAGATTGGAATTGCTAGACATTGTAAGTATAGTAGTAGAATTTTGGGAATTTGTTGTTTAGTGACCTCCACAGTGTTCCACATGCCAGGACATTCTATACCCCACTCTTCACGGTCGGAGCGCTAAGACCACCAATGTTAAGTCTTGACCAACAGGCTCTGGAGACTTCTCTGTCTCAGGGTTGTCTTGTGAGGTGACCTTTCCTGGCCTCAGGTACATTACCTGCGAAATAGTGTTGGGCAAAATGAACTCTGAAATCCCTTCCTACTCTAAGCTTCTTCCTACTTTTGAGTGTGATTCTGTGTTCTTGTCAAATAAAGAGGGTAAAGGGATACAGGATGTATTAGTAGACTTGTGTTTTTACTTCATGCATCAATGCAGTAATTCTTCCCACATATTTCACAGCACACATCGCTCTTTTTCTCTGGAAGCCACCTTTGATCAGCAAATTTTGGGTGAGGGTTCATTATTCTTTGAACAATACCATACAAACCTGAGGGTCCTAGGGTTTAGGGCAAGGAGCGTGACGGATGTGAAGGGACCAGGAGCAGAGGCCCAAGCGTGCATGGTATGCAGAGGTCCTTGGTGAACATTTTCTGACAACCAATACTTAACTTTCTTTCCAGAGAAAAGATTTTACAAAGTTTTACATAAGCAAGTTGATAGGTTTAGAGCAATTATGTTTCCTTAAGAATTATGTCCTTGTAAATGACAGTGCTGCATATAAATAAATGAATAATAATGACAAATAGCCTGGATAACCGGTGTGTAGCAGTTACCTTTAAATTAATTGAAAAAAAATTTTAACGTAAAAGTGAAATATCTGGAG